CACCACCACAGTGTGTGTGTGTGTGTGTGTGTGTGTGTGTGTGTGTGTGTGTGTGTGTGTGTGTGTGTGTGTGTGTGAACCAGCAGCAGCAGTCACTGCGTCTCTCAGAGCTTCATCGGAAATTGCAGCTCTGGCGAGGCATCGTCAGCATTGCGCTGATCGAGGGCCGGGACCTGATCCCCATGGACTCCAACGGTCTGAGCGACCCGTACGTCAAGTTCAGGCTGGGACCCCAGAAGTACCGGAGCAAGGTGCGCTAACACGGACCTCCGCCCAGTGGTGTTTACTCAGGAGAGACGCTCATGTCTGGAAATGTTGTTTCTTTTTAAGATTGTATATAAGAGCATGTTTCCCATGATGCATCTGTGTGTTTGTCTGCAGACGGTGCCAAAGACCCTGAGCCCTCAGTGGAGGGAGCAGTTTGACCTCCATATGTATGAGGAGACCGGGGGGGTGTTGGAGATCACAGTGTGGGACAAAGACACCGGGATGAGAGACGACTTCATCGGAAGGTCAGTTTTCTTTTCCCTGTTTATCTGCATCTATTTAAACCACCTAAAGGACTCATAGAACACCCTAAAGATCTCTAGAACCTTTTAAATGATCACTTCTTAGAACCACCCAAATGATGTAGAACCTCCCCAGGTGTCACTAAACCTCCTTAGGGATCATAGAACATCCTGAAGGATCCATAGAACCTTATTATTGACCACTAAACTTCCCAAAGGACTCATAGAACATCCTAAATGACCTCTCGGACCTCCTCAATGACTACTAAATCTCCTCATAGAACATCGTAAATTACTTCTAGAAACTTTTTAATGAGCACTAAACCTCCTAAATGACTCATAGAACATCTTAAATGATCTCAAGAAACTTTTCAATGATTCCTAGAACTTTCCAAAGGATGTATAACCTCCTAAATGGTCACTACAACTCCTAAAGGAGTCATAGAACACCCTAAAGTACATCTAGAGCCTTTTCAACGAACCCTAGATAGGATCTCCCAAAGGATGTAGATTAGAACCTCCTCATTGACCACTAAACAATCTAAAGGACTTATAGAACACCCTAAAGTACATCTAGAGCCTTTTCAAAGAACCCTAGATGGGATCTCCCAAAGGATGTAGATTAGAACCTCCTCATTGACCACTAAACAATCTAAAGGACTTATAGAACACCCTAAAGTACCTCTAGAGCCTTTTCAATGATTCCTCGAGCTTTCCAAAGATGTAGAACCTTCTAACTGGTCACTAAAACGTCCAAACATGATTGATCTCTAGAACCTTTTCAATGACCACTAAACCACCTAAATGACTCATAGAACACCCTAAATTACATGGAAAACTTCCATTTTAAAACATGTTAGAGATACTGGATGCAGCTTATTTTCACTGAACGTTTCTACGGCATCATGATGTCGAATTTCATTTTGACCACATATGTACTTAAAGAGCTTTTGTTTGCCGTCCAGGTGCCAGTTGGACCTCTCCACTCTGTCTAAGGAGCGGACCCACCACCTGGAGCTGGCTCTGGAGGAGTCCCGGGGCCTCCTGGTGCTGCTGGTCACGCTGACCGCCTCGGCTCACGTCTCCATCGCCGACCTGTCCGTCACGCCGCTGGACGACCCGCAGGAGCGCCGGGAGATATTCCAACGCTACGTAAGCTTAAACTCCTGAAGCTAACGGTCAGATCCACAAGATAGAAAGAGAAAACACGTTTAACAGTGAAGTACTTCCTGTTGTGTCTCCTCCAGAGCACGTTGAAGTCGTTCTCTAACCTCAAAGACGTCGGCATCGTGCAGGTGAAGGTGATGAGAGCTGAAGGACTCATGGTGGCAGACGTAACGGGTAATCAAAAAATACACCCTGTACTGTTCTTTATACTACTATGATATACTTTAACCTCCTGTGTGATGCTTTATACTTCTCTACCGTACTTTATACTCATCTCCAGTACTTTATACTCCTAAACAGTACTTTATACTTGCTCTACAGTACTTGTTTTGTGTGACGTGTTGTGAATGTGTTTGTAGGTAAAAGCGATCCGTTCTGTGTGCTGGAGCTGAATAATGACCGACTACAGACTCACACGGTCTACAAGAACCTGAATCCAGAGTGGAACAAAGTCTTCACCTTGTGAGTCCACGTTCCTCCGCCTCTCTCTCAGTCCTCAGAAATACTCCGTGTTACGTTCATTGTACTCTAAATACTTCTGTGTGTACATATCTTAGTACCACTCATTGGTTCTTATGCACTTTATTCATCCTCATGTCTTTGAAATGACGTTCAAGTTGCTTTTAATCAAATATGATCCAAATAAATACTTGATGGCGATGCTTAGTATTAACTAGGATTTTGCCAATGTGCACTTTTGAATT